TATATTTTTGCAATCCTTGTTATTTACTACGTGTTATTTGCATCCAACTCTTGTTGTTTTAGGTATGAACGCTGCCCTTCGCGCGGTCGTTCGAATGGGATTGTACCTTGGCTGCCAGGTATACTGTATCCATGAGGGCTATCAGGGTATGGTAGACGGAGGTCAGTTTATCAAAGAGGCGACGTGGAACAGCGTCAGCGATATCATTCAGCGGAGCGGTACGATCATCGGCAGTGCCAGGTCGAAGGACTTCCGTACCAGGGAAGGACGACTGAAGGCTGCTGAAAACCTACTTAAGTTCAACATCAACAACTTGGTGTGCATCGGCGGCGACGGTAGTTTGACAGGTACGTAGTTTCCGAGTTTATATATATGTATGTATAAACTAAGACTATACTAAAACTGGGAAACGAACTGAGCGTTACATTATAAAGATTTCATTTATTTCCCGTTATTGCAGCAATAGAGGTGCCAGACGATATCGGACGTAGATTGCATGTCTTCTGAGATATGCGACCGAAGTAATGAGCCATTGTTTCTAGATGAAATGTGGAAGTGTTACTTAATGGCTGTTTTCGAGTTTGAAATGGTAACATTCATTTTTCTTAAATTTTTTGTCCCTGCTTTGTTTTAAAGCCGTAATATTCGGTTGTAGATATATCTAAGTTAATGACTGTTATTAAATTGCATATGTATTGGCTGAAAACGAACCTTATACTGCTGGCGGCCTCCACGGTAGCCTAAAACTGCCACTTTTTAGTGAAGGCGGTTCGTTAGATACAGATCGAAACATCATCCGAAGCGAAGCGTCATTATGTATCATTTACTCGACCATTATGCGTCATTGTGTATAATGTATAATTAAACACTTTTTGCATTGTTTTTCATTAGGTGCGAATTTGTTCCGGCAGGAATGGCCGTCTCTTCTGAAGGAGTTGGTCGACCAGGGCAAAATCGATGCTTCGAAGCTGACCGAATGCCCGGGCATCAACATAGTTGGTCTGGTCGGCTCCATCGACAACGATTTTTGCGGAACGGATATGACCATCGGCACGGACACTGCTTTGCACCGTATTATTGAAGCCGTTGATGCTGTAGTCTCCACGGCACAAAGCCATCAACGGTACTGCGCGGTATTTTTGTTGACTTTCTTATACCGTGCCCATATTCAGTTCATTTGTCATCGAAGTAATGGGAAGACATTGCGGTTACCTGGCGTTGGTGGCTGGGTTGGCATCTGAAGCCGATTGGGCTTTCATCCCGGAGTGGCCACCACCGGTAGACTGGCGCGACATTATGTGTAACAAAATGCAAGAATCCAGAGAGCAAGGTGTGTGTTTATGCGTACGTTGCGTCGTAATTATCATCACTGGACAGAGCTATGTATTGATGCGTTACTTATCTACACTGTGAGCAGTTTCGGTTCATAGTTTATCGCGTTCAAGTTTATTCTCTTATAGTGCAGTGTACTTATCAGCAACCGATGATAAACGAATAAGCAGTTCATCTACACAGATCTAGTTAATGTGCAAGTGCGCAATGACAGATTAATTTACATAATTGGACTTTCACCCCGGAATTGTTAGCAGTAAGAATTTCTTGCTCGACTGGATTTCGGTCTGTTTAAGAAGGAAAGGATAATGTCATGCTACTAATATGTTATTCGATTTTGGTTGGAATTGCTTCATAAGTGTCTCTGATATCGTAAGGTATAAGCGACGTTATCAAAAATTTTTTGTTGTTTTTCTTCAGATGACCTATAATATATAATCGTTTAACGATATGAACAAAGAGTGCAAAAATACCTGACAGAAGTCTACATTGGAGTAATCTACGGATTGATGGATATACTCATTTGCCGGATTACCACTTCGTCACGAAACAGTTCCATGGTTAGAATGTCATGCAAGAAATAATTGTACCTACCTATTTATCTTAACCATATTCCATAACCATTCATGTATTCAGCTGAGCTAAAGCGCAGGTTGACCTTGGTTTGACAAAGGACTTAGGGTGCTGCATGTTTTTAAGATAAACGCACAACCTCGCTGTCATTTGCTTCCTTTTATGATTGTAGCAATGACGGGCATAATCGGCTCAAGTGGCATCACATTCGTAGCCCTCTATGCACGACCGCTAGTGCTTGAGTGATAAGTAATTGCACTTATGCCTTCCGCCTTCATAACCCCATACTCTTGGTTTCGGTTTCGTATCGATTATCCTTTAATTTTGATTTCAGTTACCCTTATGCTGACGTCATCGACAGCCAGCAGGAAACGGCGTGCAATATTTTGGACGCTTCCCTTTTGCCAAGAGGTTTGCTAAACTACATGTTGCTACCATAGTTGATTTCGCTGTTCGAAGACGGCTGAGATAGTTTTTATTAACACTGCAATGGCTGCGTAGCGGTGAGTTGGGCACCGCATGGATGGACTTCATCACATTAAGATAGGTTGAAATTTCACACCTGTTTGTTTTCCGCGCGGAGTGACAAAAATTCTGTAGAACTGATCTAAGCGTTTAATGTACTAAATATTTTTATATTCTTCGTCCCATGAACATCCAGCAACACGGTGATAAATTGTGAAAAATTTTTTTTCTGATGTGATTTTTTGATTTTGTGGGAATGTGATTTTCTTTAGAATAATTGTTCTAACTAGTTATTTTCAGTTTATGGCTTAGCAAAATTCGTTTTTATTTTGTTTTCATTAAATTATGAATTAAAAAAGCTGGAACAAAGCAGTTAATTTTTTGTTCATAATCATTTCTAATCATAACTTAATCCAAATGAAGTTTCATAAAATCTTTTCGTTTTCAAGGAACTGTTTTTGTTGTAAAACACGGTGCTTTTGTATGCACTTGCCTTACTTTATTATGTTTAATTTTTATTTTTCGATTGATTCAGGTAATCGCGTCAATATCATTATTGTCGCAGAAGGCGCTATCGACCGCGATGGAAATCCGATCACCAGTGAACAGATCCGTCAAGTGATCAAAGAGCGGCTTCATTACGACACTCGTGTCACCGTGCTTGGTCACGTTCAACGCGGAGGCAGACCATCGGCATTCGATCGCCTCTTGGGCAGTCGTATGGGTGCCGAAGCGGTCCTTGGTAAGCATAGTTTCCTTAACATGACTTGTTGCCTGCTTTTTCACTGACGCTGCAAAAACTCGTCTTCAGCTCTGATGGATTCCTCGACGGAATCAGAACCATGTGTCATATCCATAGACGGCAATTCGATGGTCCGTGTTCCCTTGATGCAGTGCGTGGAGCGTACTAAAGCGGTAATCGAAAATACTGCTTTTTTCGTCATCTGTCCTGACTATCGCCGCTTTGTCTAGGTACAAAAGGCGATGGATGAGAAAAACTGGGATCTCGCCGTGCAACTTCGCGGTCGCAGCTTCCAGCGTAACATTGCCACCTACAAACTAATGGCGAAAATGCGGGCGCCAAAGGCGAATGACCATCTCAGTGGTGGCTTCAGTTTCAATCTGGCTGTGATGAACATCGGTGCACCTGCCTGTGGCATGAACGCCGCCGTGCGTTCTTTTGTCCGAATGAGCTTCTACCACGGCTGCCACGTGTACGCAATTCACGATTCATTCGAAGGTCTCGTCGCGGGAAATATTCGAGTACGCTTGTTTTTTCTCGCAACCTTAATATCTGATTCTTCATATTAACGTTACATCCAACCCAGCACTGCGTTTGACCTTTCAGATCAGGCCAATTTTCCCAGTGTAGAGTTGGCCTCGTTTGGGTATTGCTACAGTATTAAGTACTACCGTGTTGAGTTTCTACAGTATTGCCCATGTCTGGCCAAAACGTCGGTATTGGTCAGTCACTGAAGTGACCACAGTATTTTTTGACGCTGTGTATAAGTAAGCCGTGTTGTGCGTTATTTTTCAGTATTCACTAATAATTTAATGTATGCAGTGGTTATAGATACGAAGTAGATCACATGCTTGTGTGATTTCAAGAGTAGCTTTCACCTACTTCGCAGAGCCACATCATTGTTGTTTCTCAATTCTGATAATGTGTTCTTCCATCTCA